AAAGAACTTTGAACTTCAAGGGAGTCAAGGGCACCACCCCTTCCTTCTCCCCGCCCCTCTCAGGAATCTGTAGGGCAATTGTTTCTGGGCCAATATTCCCTGAAGGGGGCAGCCACTGGAGTTTTCTGGTGCCCCAGGGCTGGATAATGCTGTTTGCTAACTCCTCCCTGCACAGAGCCCGCCAGAACCTTGTGCACGCGACTACACTCTTTATTATTCATATAAACCTTTGGAAAAGGCAACGCCCGGGAAGTTTTTATAACTTTGCTTGGCATAAAAATTTTACAAGATTCCCCCTCCCTTTAAAAAAAAAAAAACTTAAAGTTTTGGTCTTGCCATAGGATGAAATCTCAGGTCTTTGGGAGGGAGGAAAGGGGCTCCTGGGTATGAGGTTGAGAGGGAGTGTTTAGAGCTGCCTCTTTTTGCCTAAGGCAAAAAGGTTTGATGGTCTGGGTCTATCCTTCTCGAGGCCCACCTTTGACCCAGCTTTGGGGGCTGCCAGCCAACAGAGGCTCCAGGCCTCCCAGACAGTCCTGTCTAATCTGCTCTTGAGACACACCTATACAGACCCCCAAAGTTTAGACAATGTCAGCATGATAAGACCTTCCCCCATCACACTTGGTCTCCTGTAAGCACTGTTTCTCTCTCTCTCCACACACACACACACACACACACACACACACATACACACACACACACATGCACACACACAAACACAGCCCTGCACACTCTACCCCCAACCCACTGCACAAAGCTGAGACCCATAACCTTGACTCAGATTTCTGATTTGGGAGGGTCTCCGCACACAGTCTCACATCCCTGCTGCCTGTGAAGTCAACAATGGGTTTGAAGAAAGAATCAAAATGCCAAGAAACTCCTGCCCAGAGGTTGCAGAGGTTGCAGAACTAAAGGGGACAGAGGGCCAGCAGGGCTGCAGTCCAGGGACCCAGAGAACAAAGGCACTCATGGGGGGACGTGCGTGGCCTTGAGCTGTCAAACCCACGGATGACCCATTGGACCTGCCCCCCACCTGGGACTGGCAGAACCTCACTCCTTCATTTCCCCTGACTCCAGCCTTGGGAGCATCAATAGAGCTCAATTTTGGGTCATTTTAATGTTTAGCTCTGGAGGACAGGACAAAGATGGAATGACTTTGCCAGAGGTAAGCCTGGTAGACAAGGCTCCTTTGCGGCAACGGAAGTGAATATACATGACCCCTGGATTCCTGGCACTTCAAAGAGCCGTCATCATGAGTGGGGATGTGCCCCGGAGCCGATTTTCCTTCCCTGTAATGGCAACGGCTGAGGCCTGGCGGCCGCCGCTCACACCCCTACACTTCTCCTTGTGAGGAGCCTGGCTAAAGCTGAAGGCGGGAGAAGGTCAACTCCAAGCCTTAGCAGCCCGGTTGGTGAGGCATGCGACTTAGCCTGGCGCATTCCCCCTCACTAAGACCAGCACAACCGAGAAAAATAGCAGAGGCTAGGACAGAAAGTCAAGCGGAAGGAAAGAATTGAAGAGGAAAAAAAAAGCAAATAATAAATTTGGTAATAGAGAAAGAAAGAAGGAAAAGAGGAATTGGGGAAATAAGGAAGACAACGAATTAAGAAATAAAGAGAAAGGATCGGAAAAAGAAGGAAAATGAATTGCAGGAAAAAAAGGAAAGAACGAAAAATAGAGAAAGAAGCAAATAGAGAAAAAGGAGGAGGAAGAAACAAGAAGGAGGGAAGGAAAGAGAGAACAGAGGAAGAAAAGAAGAAAGGAAAGAAAGAAGGAAAGACAAACAGATCTTTGTAAAGGAATTTAGCCGGTTAAGGAGACTCGGGTTTTTCTCCGGAGCAAGCCAGCCCAACCACAGCCCGACTCTGTCTGGAAACCTGACCTCCTTGAGTAACTTACAAGCAAACCATTAGAGTGGGGAGCAGGGCCTTCCCCCCAAGATATCCTCTCATCTGTGCCCTCCTCCCAAAGCTTCTCTCCGAGGTGTCTGCGGTCCGGTTTCAATTCAAGAGGCAAAGTTAAATAACTGAACGGCTGCGGCAGGACCAGGAAGCAGTCAGGCTGGCACGGCTTACCAGACTTCAGGATTCAGGGATCTCAGGGAGCACTTTGGGTAAAAGTGAATATCTGTGGCTGTGTACACACAATTAAATGCAAGTTAGACATGTGTATAGATGCTAAACTCCACAGCATCTGGGTACAAGTGTATACATTCCGCTGGCCGCTGGCCGGGCTGCCAGGGTGGCTGCGAGGTCCGGATTAGACCTGAGGCCCCCTAAGCTTCCTCAGCCTCCTACCTCCCTCTCATACCTGTTCAAAAATCTTTTGGGGGGCCTCTGAGCATTTCGCATTTTGCCTGGAATTTCTCTGCTTCCAATTGAGCTCAGGCAGAGCGTTGAATGAAGCTAATGAAGAAGAAAAGCAAATCTTTCCTTCAAGTTTTGGGAAGAGAAGGATTTATCTTGGTCTCCAAAACAAGAGGAAAAAACCTGCAATCACTGGTGTGATTTTGTTTTCCATTTCGCTTGAAGAGATTTCAGTACACACACTTTATTTTTATTTTATTTTATTATTCTATCCCAAAGGGAGAGGCACTCTTCCTTTTTCAGTTCATCTTCAGAATTTCCCAGACGACTTTCTTAACCTCTTGGGGAAACTCCGATAATTTTTGTTGGAGAAATCAGGATGCGTCTGGGGTGCTTCGAGGGCTACAGCCAGGAAAGCAGCGAAGTTCCTTTCTGTTTGTTGAGCACTATATTTTCCTTCTGCTTTGGCACGGGGACCCCTAGCGCCCCAGCCGTTGGCCTGCCCTGTGGAACCCGCTGGATCCTCCTGGAGTATTCGAGGAGTTCCCGAACCCTCCTCCTCTCCCTTGCTCACAGCCCCACAGGCGGAAGGAGGCCCAGCTAGGGCCCTGCTGCCCCACCAGGGTCTGGGTACCTCGGGAAGGGCTCTGGGGTGGATGGGATTTGTCAAGACATATGTATGCACAGCCTGAGCCCCTCTCTGCCTGCAGACTCTGGATTTTCATTTCCCCAAGTTGAGGTAAGAAGGGGGAGCCCCAGAGACTTAGGGTAAGCGGAGGTTTCTCCGTACTCCAGAAAGTTGAAGAAATGGATTAATAAGAGTCGGTATGGGGGTGATTCTAGCAACACAGACTTCCCCCAGATCCCAATCCAGTGGCCAAGGGCGAAGGCTGGAGGGTCTTGGCCCTGTGGGGCAGGGCAGTGGGCGCCTGGCAGCGGCGGCAGGCGGGGTGGCTGTGGCGGCCCGCTTGCCTTTGAACGCCAGGCCCGGACAATAGGACTGAAACGGCCTTTGCTCGTGGCCTCGGGAAAGACCGAGCCCAAGGGGGCAGGGCTAGGACCCAGACCCGCACAAATGCTCCCCTGGCCCAGTCCTCATGCTCACTTCTTCCTTCCTTTTACCTCCACTGAGGCAGAATCCCAAAGTCTGCAAAAACCCAACAAGTTATTCAAGTCTGCGTCCGAGTCGGCTGCTGTTTAACAGCGCCGGGTTTTCGTTTATCTTGCGTAATTAGAGGCAAACATTTTTCCCACCGGGGGTCCCACTTAGGCTGATGAATTTGATTTCTTTTTTCATTAATGGGCCGTGTTTATCATACTTGTAATTATTTCAACTTTAAACACTATTCCTTCTTGTGAGGAGGTGGGAGTCGAGGCGGGAGGTTCCTTCTCCCCGGGGTATTATTTTCATTAGTAGTGGCAAGGATTCTGAAGCGACTCCATCCCCTCACCATGGCTGAGGTGAGAGGTGGGCTTGGGATCTGGGGTCAGGCTTCTAGGGGACCTGAGGCCCAGTGACTCCACTCCATTCCTGCTGGTTCCCTAGGTTCCGCCTTGGGGGCTTGTCTCAAAGTTTATCTCTTCCACCCTCCTCTGCTGACTTCCCCAACTCCCTCCCAAGCTGGGCTCAAACCTGTCCCCTGCAAAGTTCTTCCCTCCAAACCTTCCACGGATCCCAGCCTGGCCTGGGCAAAGGCTGTGGTAGTGCCGTCCCAGACCCCAGCTACTAACACCTAGAGAAAAATCAGGAAAAGCTGAGGTGACCAAGGGGTACCTGGCTGTGGAGGAAATGGCCCAGCAGACTCCAAAACCGGGATGGGGGGGAAGCAATGGCGGGACTGGGACACTAAACTCCAGGGACAAGCACACCAGGCAGGAAAATAAAGGAGATGTGAAAGAGGGGGGAGGGAACCCCCCAAAGCCATATAATTCTCAATTGCTTTGGTCTTTAATTTCATCGTCCCATAAATGAGGAGATATCAGTTCCCATACTAAATTTTTATCCCCGGCTGATAAATATGACGGGAAATTTTCGTTGGGTCCTCGTAAAAGGGAACGGTTTCGATCAAACTGGTGGGGAAAGACTTATGCAGATAATACAAACAGAGTGGCCATAAAGTCTCGGCCGTTTCCCGCGGGATGGGCGGTGGGACAAATGGCTCCCTGGATTGACTGCTGCCCAGGCTGTCCCAAGTCTCGTCTGGGGCCTAAACAGCCTAACCTTGCCCTGGACAACCCCCATGCTGAGGCCACGGCTACCCCTGCAAATGAAAACACAAAACCATTTCAAATCTCCCCTGGCCGGCCCTGCAAGCAAGTCACATACTCCACATTTCCTTCCAGTTTTCCGGAGGTTCAGAAACCCTTGCGCCTTCGCTCGCCGCCCTTGGATGGGGGAACTCGGCGGATTTCTTTCCGCAGTCTTCTAGCCGCGCCGGCTCGGGCCTCCCTGGAAGCGATCTAGCCTCCTCACTCCTCCTCGCCGGGGCGCTCGGGCTTCAGTGCGCTCCCCGCCAGCATCCAGCCCCTCAGAAAGTCGAAACCGGAGGCTCTATCCAGGGAAAAATGCGGGGCCACCGGAAAGACAAGTTTTTCTCCGGATTCCGTTTCCTGAGGAAGGGGTGGAGAGTTTAGTTCGCTTTGGAAGAAAGGCGATGGAGAAACGGAAAGAACTATTTGGAACATACGTTTCCCTTTATTTCTTCCCCTTATTAAAAAACAACAAAAATAGACCGGTCTTTCTTCTTTCAAAAATGCTCCCAGCCCATTCTCTCTGTACACACTTCTCTGGGTCGGATTTTGTCGCGTTTTGTGTCCTAGTTTCCCGTGTGATACGTGACTCCTCCAAACTGGCCGAGGCTCCGCCGGTTCCCTCTTTCTCTCCAGGAATCTTCCCTGTTTTAGTGGGGGCAAGGTCAAGCGGAAAGCGAGGGCCGCCAGGGCCTGGAGCAAAGCAGCAGAACCGGCTCCCAGGCCAAAGCCTTGAGATAGTGACCCAAGAGCCGTCCACCCCTCCAGGCCCAGGCCGCAGCTCCGGGATCAGGGAGCCGGTGCCTCTGGTCGCCGGCTTCCTCCTCGCCCTACCCCTACATCCACTCGGAACCTTCTTTCCTGAGCAGCCCTGAAGTGACCGTGACCGCCTCCCTGACTTACCCCAGAGACTGGAGAGTCCCCCGTCCACCCCACAGGGAACCTGCAACTCAACCAGCCTCCAGCACCCGAGGTCCCCAAGCTCCCAGCCTCAAGGGCCAAGCCGGAGGAACGCGGAGGCAGGAGAGCAGAAACTTTAGTCCCGTCTGGGATTCCTTAACTTTTTTCCCCTTTTCTGTCAGACCTCCCCCCACCAAAAAAACCCCAGAAACCCTCACCCGGCTCCCACCCCAAGGGAAGAAGCGAGGGCAGGCTCCGAAGAGATGAAAAGGGGAGATGAAGAAAGGGGTATAAGTACCTGAATCGTGTCTTGACCTTTTAATTTGAATTTGACTGTTTTGAGCCCTGGGTTGCCTTGCTCTCCCTCTCTCCCGCATTTCACCCCCTCTCCGACCCCCACTCGCCAGGAGTTACAGACTGGTTCCCGGGTAAACAAACCCCACTCTCCCCAGAACCCCCCCATCCCCTTCCACCCCACTACGGCCCCTGCCGCCCGGGGGTCGCTTCCTTTGTTCGCAGGCAAGGGCTCCGGTGCCCCTACCCCGAGGCAGCTGCTAGGTGGCGCTGTTACTCCACGATGCGCGCTCCGCCTGCCGACAACTTGACCCCGCTGACGTCACGGCCGTCTGAATCATCAAGGCCATTTTCAAATCCCATTGGTCTAGCCGTCACATGGTGAGGACCGAATGCGCGGATAATTATGGAGCTGATATTTCCCCCCCTCCCCTTCTTTTTCCTCCCTCCCCTGTAACCGCGCCCCCCCTCCCGGATGGGGGAAAAAAAAAAAGATGTCAGCTCCTCCGCTGTAGTATTGCTCCTTAAAAACCCCTCTCTCTGAAAATGACATGCCCTCGCAATGTAACTCCGAACTCGTACCCGGAGCCCTTGGCTGCGCCGGGCGGAGGAGAGCGCTATAGCCGGAGCGCAGGCATGTATATGCAATCTGGGAGTGACTTCAACTGCGGGGTGATGAGGGGCTGCGGGCTCGCCCCCTCGCTCTCCAAGAGGGACGAGGGCGGCAGCCCCAACCTCGCCCTCAACACCTATCCGTCCTACCTCTCGCAGCTGGACTCCTGGGGCGACCCCAAAGCCGCCTATCGCCTGGAACAACCTGTTGGCAGGCCGCTGTCCTCCTGCTCCTACCCACCTAGTGTCAAGGAGGAGAATGTCTGCTGCATGTACAGCGCAGAGAAGCGGGCGAAAAGTGGCCCTGAGGCAGCTCTCTACTCCCACCCCCTGCCGGAGTCCTGCCTCGGGGAGCACGAGGTGCCCGTGCCCAGCTACTACCGCGCCAGCCCGAGCTACTCGGCGCTGGACAAGACGCCCCACTGTGCCGGGGCCAACGACTTCGAAGCCCCTTTTGAGCAGCGGGCCAGTCTCAACCCGCGCGCCGAACATCTGGAGTCGCCTCAGCTCGGGGGTAAAGTGAGTTTCCCAGAGACCCCCAAGTCCGACAGCCAGACCCCCAGCCCCAATGAGATCAAGACGGAGCAGAGCCTGGCGGGCCCAAAAGGTAGCCCCTCGGAGAGCGAAAAGGAGCGGGCCAAGACCGCCGACTCCAGCCCAGACACCTCGGATAACGAAGCGAAAGGTAAGGCCGCCTGGGCCGCGGGCCGGCTGGGACGCTCGGGTACTTGTCTTCGTGGCCAGGGCGGGGGGCAGGGGAGAGGATTGGGCCGAGGAGGCCCCGAACCGTCTTGGGAATGCGGCCCCGGCTTGTGACTAGTGTTTGCTGAGCTCCAGGCTGGTGGCGCGTCATTTAGCTGGGGAAGGTAAGCGGCGACTTGGAGGTGCCTGGCCGGCCCGGCCGTGGGTGCTAAGGCGGGGGCGGTGCGCACCGCTGGCAGCCTGCAGGCGCGGTGTGCTGCCCAGGACGGGTGACCGAGGGCGCGTGCTGGCTTTGGTTTGCTTTCTCAATGCTGGTGTCCTGGGGATCTAATGTGCCCCCCATCCCGCCCCCTCTTCAGGTCAGAGGCTTGCAAAAAGCTTAAAATGGCGATCTTGGGCCAGGGACTAGGGAAGGCTTGGGAGATGGGGGATTTCTCTTTACTGCGTTTTCCCAGTTGAAAATTGTTTTCTGTGAAACGCGATTTGTTGTTTGTGGGTCTGATTTGTGCGTGCGGTTTGGGCTCCTTTGGTTTTTGGCTCGGCTAGGAGCCTTGGGCAGCGGGGCTGGGGCCGGAAGAGGTGGAGGTGAAGGGCTGCCCGCCACGCCACGTCCCTCCCTCCTCCAGATGCCTGGCTTGGGGATGGCGTTGGAACAGGGCATTTGGAATGTTGTTTTTTGTTTCCTCTTTTAAATTTTTTCTTTTCTCTCTTTTTTTTAGTTAAATTTCACTTTTTTTTATTGGTTTCCAAAAGCAGCTTTACAAATGAGTGGTTGGGAAATTTCTGTGTGCGTGGCAAGAGGTTTTCTCCTGAAAGAGAATGTTGCTTTGGTTCGATTTCATTGTGATTTTGGTTAGAGAGAGAAAGCCTAGCCAGAGTTCAAGCTCAGGGTTCAAGATTCATTTCTGCTGTAGCAACTGAAGGCCTCAGGACCTTTCTCTGATACCTGGGGAAAGAATGTGGAGGAAACAGGAGCATGGGAGGGAGGCTGAGAGGAACGACTTTTCCTGAAAAGTTGGAGCAAAAAGCACCAGAAAAGGAAAAGGCCCAACGGGGAGGAATAAACCTGCTCCCCACGACATTGGCTACTGGCCACAGTACATAAGAGGGGCTCATTGGGTGTAGAGGCAGATGAAATATTGAGAGCGGAGCAGGTTGGGGTGGCCTGGACCTTCTGGTGCTTTGTATATGGATGCGACGCACACGCATGCCTGACGGCGACCTGTGTCACACACACACCCATCTTGCATGCTTCTCACACACTCACGCATGCCCGCTCACACATGCACAGGCAGTCTTTTGGCGGGCAAGGGCAGAGCCTAATTCTCTTGGATCTGCTCTCCAAAGGTGGCCTTGACAAATCAGCCAGTAAAGATACTGACCAGAAGATGAGCACGGTGTGTTCTCGAAGATGAGGGGGAGAGTAAGGTGTCCACACCCATTAGCCTTCCCTGTGGCACATGTGCAATGTGAAGGTTTAATTTTATACCCTCTCTACAGACCCTGAGCTTGGTTGGGGAGCATATTTAGGATAGGAAAAGCTGAGTTCTAGCCCCACCAAAAGCAAAGTCAAGGTTAACAAGTTCACCTCTTAACTCGACCTGCACCCATTCTGGTAGGCTTCCCTTTCTCTCCTGCTGTCCCCACAACAATCTGAGTGAGCCCTCCCATCCCAACTAATCCCCCTTAGCCTATCCTTTGCCCTTCTTACCCCTCCCTTAATTTTTGTTGTCCCCACCAGCAGAGGCAAGAGAGCTTTCTGCTAAACTTCCCCATTTACAATTTCTGCCCTCTCCCCCCCAAATCCAACAACTCCAATAAGAGAATAAACAAGGCACAGCTAGATGTGGAGAGCCTGTAAACAATTTAGCAGGAAGCTGCAGGTGCAGTGGTATGAGAATAATTAAGAACATTCAGATTTTTTAGGCTGCAACTTCAAGTTTGCTTTTTTTTTTTTTTTTTTTGGTGTTTCTTAGTTCCCTTAGGGCCCTCACTCCACCCCACCCCCATCAAGATAAGATCAGGAACTTGGTAGCTTCATTTGGCATAGAAAGGAGAGAGAGAGAGAGAGAGAGAGAGAGCTCAGAACCATCAACAGAGTCCTTTTCTAGGTTCCCCCTCAGGTCTTTGGACTCTATGATTTTCCCTAAAGAGATGGCTAAGTTCCCTTCTGCTGCTTAAGGAGCAAGGCTGGTCCATTTCAGCAAGAATGTGCGCCATGGAGAGAAGCTGTCAATAAGATATGGGAAATACACACCATACTACAGTATTTCCTTATAGAAGTAGACACGTGTATATATCTATGTGTATGTGTACATACGTATAGGTGTGTATATATCTGGCACACACAGCTACATATACACAGACTGGGCAGGAGATTTTTAGGCGGCTACATTTCCTCAGGATATCTCTCTCCCTTGACCTTAGGTTACCTGTCGGAGACCCCTTAGCATTCCCCAGAGCTGTTGCCCCTGACCTCTGCTGCTCCCACAAGCTCCCCTGCCTCAGCTACCCACAGCTGGGAGAAATGACCAGGGGAGAAAGAGATGACAACCGGGGAGATCTAATGGGGCAGAGTCACTCTGTGGCAACTCAGGTGGGAGTAAGAGCTGGGAGCCTGGTGCAGGGATAGCTGCAATGGCCTCTGGCCACAGCGGCTGGGACAAAGTCCCTCCACTGAGTTGAAAGGGGTCAAAGCTCTCTAGGAATTGCTCTGGGCTGTGGGTGGACTCTGTACTCTGGTTTGGGCCCTGGAAAATACTTTTCCATCTGGCTGGATTTTTCCAGAGCTTGAATGGAACAGAGTGAAGGGAGGGCCTGGCAAGGTTTAGGGTACTCCTCCAGGAAAGTAAGATAGGGAAAAGTGAGAGTGCTCAGGATCTGATAGGTTAAGGTGGACTTGGGTAATTTAAATTTAATAAAAGTTTGGAGACAGGAACCTCCTCCCTTTCTCCCCTATAAGTTTAAATCCTAAAAAAATTTTAAGAACCCTGAACTCAAGAGGACCCCACCAGGCAGGCCCATGGGGCAAGAGCAGTTCCCCTGTGCTCCCTCAGCCACCCCACAGCAGGCTGGCAAAGGCTGCGGCACTGAGAGGGTTTGCGTCTTCGAGGGATACTTATGTAAATAATGTTATTTTTAACAGAGGAGATAAAGGCAGAAAACACCACAGGAAATTGGCTGACAGCAAAGAGCGGAAGGAAGAAGAGGTGCCCCTATACTAAACACCAGACGCTGGAATTGGAGAAAGAATTTCTGTTCAATATGTATTTGACGCGAGAGCGCCGCCTGGAGATTAGCAAGACCATTAACCTTACAGACAGACAAGTCAAAATCTGGTTTCAAAATCGCAGAATGAAACTCAAGAAAATGAACCGAGAGAATCGGATCCGGGAACTGACCTCCAATTTTAATTTCACCTGAGTGTGCGGTCTCCCCTCCTCCCTCCCCCCTCCTTCCTTTCCCCGCCCCTCCTCCCTTTGTGCCTGGTGATATTTTTTTTCCTGCCTGAGTATAAATGCAACGCGCCTGCAAAAAAGGCAAAGACCTCAGACTCTCCTTCCAAGGGACCTATGGTTCGTGCTGCGAAGATGCTTCCACCTGAAGCATGAGAAAGGGGTGCTGGGGCATTGGGTCCGGCGTGTGCCCTCGTATGTGGGGGTGGGAGTGTGATCGGTGTGTGTGTCGGCCCCTCGCTCACCCACGCGCTCACACACAGCATTCTGTTCTCCATGCAAAGTTAAGATCGAATCCACCCGCTTGTAGGGGAAAAAAGGAAAAAATCAACCAGAGAGGGTCTGTAATCTCGCAGAGCACAGTCAGAATCACTCCTTCCTTGCTGCATTTCCTCCTTAGAATAATAGACGTTTTGGAAAGTTCAGCTAGTGTTTGTGTGTTTGTCGTAGCACCCAGCGCCTCCACCAAACCCTCTCGGTGTCCTTACCTCCCAGTCGCTCTGAGAATCTGCTTGAAGTCTCGTATTTGTACTGCTTTCTGCTTTTCTCCCACCCCTCCCAGCACCCCCACATCCCTATCCACTAACATCTCAGAAATTCCATCCAGAGGAACAAAAAAATTAAAAATAGAACATAGCAAAGCAAAGGATGCCCCCCCCTCAATATTGCCCTGTCTCTGTCTGCGAGTTGTGTTATTTAAAGATATTCTGTATGTTGTAACTTTTGCATGTAGCTTCCTTAATGGAGAAAAAAATCCTAATAAATTTCCAGAATCGTAATCTTCAAATGGGTGGTTTTTTTGTTTTTAGTGTCTTTTAGCAATACCCCCCTCCCCCAAAGAGGCTGAGTGTGTGGATGTGTGTGTTTTGTGTTTGACTCATCTCCTAGAGCCTTTCTAGAACGTCTCGTGGCGGGTTTAATGTAAGTGAGAGACCATAACGTTGATTTAAATATTATCCAGGTGACCACAATAAGTCAAGGTCATAAAACAGTAATGTCAGGACGGTCTTGGTGCGCGCGAGAGGTGGATTTTATGATCTGCAAATATAATGTGGTGCTGCAGTAAAAGATGCATTTAAAGGTGACTGGAGGAGGGAAAGAGGCAGAGAGCAAACTGCAATCTTGAGGAGCAGACGGATCTGATTGTCTGGGGTGCTGGGCTGGGCGCACCCCATTGCTGGTGGGGGGCACCCCAAGCGCCCCCACCTATCCAAGGAGAGGAATAAACTTAACCGCTGGAGGGGCATGAGGAGCTCAGCCCCCCCTCTCGACAGCAGCTAACAGAAGCGCCAGCAGGAGCAGGAGGAGGAGGCAGCGACAAGGTAAGAGAAGCGGTTTCTTGTTCTTCTCTTGGCGGCAGAGTGGGGACTAAAGGCGTCCCCAGGTGCTTGGCTTGCAGCGGGCAGAGCCTGGAGGAAGGTGTTTCGGGCATCCGTGCTTGCTGAGAGCCCAGGCTTGTCTTGTGGCTGCTGGCAGCGGAGGGCAGCAACCGTGAGCTCCCTCTCCTCCCCTCCCTGGCCCATTGCTGTGGGGTTAGGCGGTTAAAGGGGTAAATTGGTGGTATTTGGCTTCTTTATCTTCTTGGGCACTTAGGGTTGCCTTGAGGTAGACACTCCGGTTTAGGTGTTGTTCAGTCTGGTCGCCTGTTTGAGGGGGGAGGGGGTAGACAGGGTTGGAGCTTGAAGCTTAGGTTTTCCTGTTTTCTGCTGGTTTGGGCGTGAGCTCTTCCAGGCTCTTGTTCCCCACATTCCCTGGCTGTGGGGCTTTGCCAGGCAAGTGGCCTGATTGGAAGTGGCTCCAGAGCACAAGGCTGTGGTTCGGCCACCCGTATTCACTGGGAAGTCTAAATCAAGCTGAGAGAGGGAGAGGATAGGGGAAGTCTAGGAGGAAAGCGCAGGAAAGCCAGATGGACAAGACAGAGGACCAAGCTCAAGAGTGGAAGGAAGATCCAGCTTCCCTCAGGGCCAGGGCCAGATGCAGGGGAATAGCTCCACTGCGGTGCTGGGGATGGGGCGGGGATTTGGTGGCTAGCAGTCCCATTTCACCAGATCTTCCCAGAGCAATTTTTTTAGACCAGAAAGTGATGAAGGCAGTCAGACACCCTACTCACCCAGCCACCCAAAGTCTACTCTCTAGTCCTTAGGGAGGTTGTGGGGGCGGAAAGGGGGACGGGGCTGAATTTCTTCCTTCCTCAACCCCCTTCCTTTCTCCTCCGGATAGATGCAAAGCTGAATCTCCCGCCCTGCTTGCTCAGCTGATCTGTGGCTTAGGTAGTTTCATGTTGTTGGGATTGAGTTTTGAACTCGGCAACAAGAAACTGCCTGAGTTACATCAGTCGGTTTTCGTCGAGGGCCCCAACCCACCTCTCCTGCTCCTTCCCTCCCCAGTGGGACTGCCCCACAGCCCCCTCCTAGATAGGGCAAAGTGGGTGCAGACCAAGGAGGGCAAGCTGTGAGTGGGGCTGCGGGACAAGTCTGGAGAACCCTGCTCTATGCGATCCGATCTTCAGCCTGTCCCAATCCCTGAGACTGAGGGAGAGGAGTTTTTCCTGCAGCTATTGTCTCCTGGGCCCAGCTGATGGACACAGACAAAGACGGTCCAGTCAATTCCAAGGAAATTCAGGAGTTTGAGTAGAGGTGGCCCGGCGGGCCAGCTCAGTTGGGCAGCAGGGTGGGGCAGAATCATTAGGAGAGAGAAGAGCACAGAAAGAGAAGGGAGTCTCTGGAATGGTTAGCTTCTCTCACCTGCCACCTCCAAGGAAAGAATATGGCTCCAGTTGGCTGAGGCTGGAGCTTCCTTAGAAAAGTGGGGGGTGCCTGGAGGTCCCAAGAGTTGGATAACTCTAAATGCCAGCCCAGCCACTTCCCCTTCCCCTCCTATAGCTCCATCTCCAGGGGAAAGGCATATTTGGGGTGTTAGTAGGTTAGAGGAAAACCATCAAGTCCAAGTAGAATCACCCCCTACTTACACACACACCTTACTGGGAAACATCAGGCCAAAAACCTGACTCTGGTCTCTGTTTAGCTGTCTGTGGTCTGTAGGCCTTGGTCTGTGTGTCTGTGGCTGTCAGGCGCTGTGTGGAAATGTCTGGATGAACAGAGGCTGCCCGTGTGCCCACCATTATCATGTTGTTGGCTGTTGCCAGCGGGCAGAGGGGTAGAAGGAAATCTGAGCAATGTAAAACTTTGCAAAGCTTCCTGCACTCCTTTTCCTCTCTGGTTCTTCAATGTTGGCCCAGGTTGCTAGAGAGAAGGTTCTCAAAAGAGGTTTCTTTGCCTCTGGAGAAAAAAGGGGGAGGGCTCAGGGAGACTGAGGAGATACACCCCTGTTCTCAGAGATACTGGGAAAGAGAAGCCACAAGAAGGTCAGGTTCTTGGTTCTCTTACTTTGTAATTATTATGATTATTAAAACATCGTGAACTTTCAAACAGGGGAACAAAATCATGTCCCTGTAACAAAATATATAGAGTTCTGTATTAATGCAGTCATGTGCTGGGGCAGGGGAGCACGGAATATATGACCTCGGATGAGTGTAGGTCTCTGTTTCTATCTCTCTGTCTCCTCCAGGCTCTCTCAAATCCCCTGTAGATATTTATAGGCATATTCATTTATTTTTTTCCCCTCTCTTTCATACAAAGAGATTTCTTTTCACCCCCAAGAAAGCTGGAGGAGAAAATGGGAATAGAGATTTTCATCTCCCCAGTTGAATCGTCAGCCTTTCTGTCTCCCATTCCTTTGTGGGAGAAAAAAAAATTTCTTCCCTTGCAGGAAAGTACTCCAATCTCTCTATGGCTCTCAGGGAAATGGAGATGTTTCCACAGAGGCAGGCCAGCTGGTGGGAAGCAGGCAAGGGGCTCCCCTTGTTGGGAACTCCCAGCAGCCTCTGAGTCTTCAGGCTGCCCCAGGCACATAGCCAGTTGGGGTGGAGGGAGTTCCAGACACGGGTAGGGTGCTCAGGAGCACTTGGCTTGGAGACAGTGTCCCCGATGGGCCGAAATTCACCCATGAACGACTTCTGCGCTTTGGGTCCCTCTGTTCCCATTCCTATTTCAGAGCTGGTGGGCTTATGAGTGGGTGGTCCATAGAGCCAGGGGTTGGGGTATCCCCTACCCCAAATCCCAAGAAATGGAGCAAGTTCTCATAGGGCCAAGGTGAGGGCCAGTCTGGTGGTCAGAGTCCACCCCAGGGCCCTGAGGCCGTGGATCATGGCTAAGGCGATGGTAATTATTTATTCGCTTCGCTGGAAGGGAGTCTTCAGAAGGAACAGCGTGAAGAGGAGGGAAAAAATTATCTCTCTCGTCTGCGGATATTAAGATGGATTTTTATTTCTTAAAGGACCCTCCCCGCCGAGAGCGCATAAGCGTAAACTTAATATATGCTCCGCAGCCCAACTCCAGAAATCGCAATAAAAGTTAAAACCTCCCCTACTGGTTTTTTTTAATTATGATACGGGAAAGAGGAGCAGGATTTATAGAGCTGAACTCTCGGCGTGTGAGTGTTTGAGACTTGCGGGAGAAGGAGGAAAAGGCAAGAGCTCGCCAAGGAGAACCTTGGTCTCTGAGATGTCTCGCCGGCTGCGGGGGCTGAGGCTCAGCATTGCCGATCCGCTGTGGCCTCCCTGGGACCTCGCCCAGGCCCACAGCCTTGTTTAAGCTCGGAGATGCAGCCCTTCTGAAGAACAGGTGAAGGGGGTGGCGGCAGCGGGGACTGGGGGCTGTGGGTGGGAACGGCAGGGCGCAGGGCTTTGTGTGGGTCGTGCAGAAGACGAGGTTCGAAGTCCCCGGCAGGCAGGACCGCAGCCCGAGTATGGCCCGGAGGGCGGCTTGGCTAGGAGGGGTGTCCGGTAAGGGCGCGAGAGCACCGACAAGGTGGATTGTGTGTGGACTTTGGTCGTAGACAGAGCGGAGGGCTCGGGGGCTGTGGCCAGCGGCAAGGCGGGCAACCGGATGTTGAGTCTGTAGGAAGGACCTTGAGGTCTGTTGGGTGTTTGGGCTGCCGGGGGGCGGCGGCCCAGAGTGTGGAGCATGCAGTGCGCGGGGCGCGGCGGTCCGCGTGGGCGAGGCAGCAGGCCCCGCACACCTCTGCGGCTGCTGGGCTGTGTCCGGGACGTCTGAACTGAGGCCGACCAATAGTCAGAGCATGAAAAATAAATGCAGTTAAGGGTCTTTCTTTTTTTTCTTTTCCACATAAGAAGTCCTTTCTTTCTTCTCTTTCGGAGATACCTGGATTTGGTCCAGAGCAGGTTGCCCGCGGGAGGGCCCCGAGAGCGGCAGCGCGCAAGGGAGGGAGAAAGGGAGGGAGGGCGAGAAAGAGGGAGGGAGGGAAGGAGGGCGGGCGGCAGCGGCTGTGGTGGCCGGGGCTTCCCTCCCCAGGCGGGAGGCGGCTGCCCTGCATCTGTGGCCATGGGGAGCCGAGGAGCAGGTAACGAAGGCGCTTCCGAGGCGGGATTGGACCAAGCCAGAGGGACCGAGTCTTCTGGGTCTCTCTGCCTGAGGCCTTGGAGGGAGAGAAGGTAGGGAGATCGGCGCCCGCCAGGCCTGGCAAAGAGGCCTCCTCCGGGAATGTTGAACCTGTATATGATTTCAGGCTCACACTCATGTTGTGAGTCTGTCTGCCTCAGGAGATGCGGTTTGCTTGTGGGTCTGAGAAGTCTCAAACACTGGGCTGTCCTTCCAAAGGCTGGGGGAGAAATCGGGGAAATTCGTCGGAATGTGCAGTTTCATTCATTGGATTCTCTGCAACTCAGCGGGGTTGGTTAAGGCGCCCCCAAGTTGGAAGGGAGCTTTCCTCCTGTTTTCTGGATGCGGAGTCCTCTGGCTGCCTCCGCCACGGGCTGAGTTTCCGGCTCCAGGTTCGCGTGTCGCCCTGAGGTTTGAGGCCAGACAGCTTGCAGTCGGGCAGGGAGGGCGGGGGAGAGACGAGCTCTGGCCCCTTAATTGTACTTCGGGCCGGTATTGTCTCTCCTTTCGCCACCTCTGCTTCCTCAGTCTGGGCTCCAAAGTCACTGCAAATTTCCTTGCGAAACATACATCATACAAAAGATCAGGTAACAAGGCACTCAGGGCCACTGGGGCTCTGGGCAGAGCGCAGCCCTACCTCTGGGGCGGCTCCCCCTCCAGCCACTCCCCAGGCTGGAAAACCAGACTGTGTTGCGGGAGCCGGAAACAGCCCCGTTTGCTGCGGAGCTGCAGGGCGGGGGCGCAGGCGGGAATGCAGGCCGGGCAGGCCATGGCGTTGAAAGGGCCAGGTTCACAGGCCCTGGGGGCTTCATTCCTGCTGGGCTTGGGGGCCTGACTCCTGGTGTGTAGGGATCCCAGATACCCACCTGGGGTGGGGGCAGGACGCAGGTCTCCTCGCTGCAGGCCAGGAGAACTCAGTTTCTGCTTCCAGCGCAGGCCTTAGCTAGGAGGAGTTGTGTGTGGGTGTGTTTTTCCCAACAAAGAGGGATCAGGAGAGAGAAGGGGGGAAAGAAGAGGAGAACTGGGGAGGGGGCGGGGAGGGGGAGAGGGCAGCGGAGAGGTGAAATTAGCCCATTTCAGGAGGAGAAGGAAAATGAAAGCAAATGGAGCACGGCCTCCTCCGCGCAGGGCGGGTGCTGAGGAGCCGGGAGCCGACTCCCTGCCTGCCGAGGCCAGGATGGCCCGCTGGGGGTACCGGGAAAAGCCTGTTTTAAATTTAATCCGAACTTGACGGTGCGGATTGAACCGGAGGGAATTTAAATCACTAAAAGGAAGGCTGGGGCAGGGAGAGGGGATGACTCTAACCTGTCTGTCCGTCCTTCCCACTGTGCTAGCTTGGTTGTGGCGGCAGCTGCCCAGGTTTGAGGTGATGGAGTAAGACTGCCCCTCCCCCTCAGGGGGCTCTCTGGTGCCCAGTGAAATCTTTTGGGGGCGGGAGAGAGCTCTGAGAACCAGAGTGTACGCAGAGCTGCTAGCAAAAGCTGGGGCTTCCCTCCTCCCCAACAGGGCCTCCCAGCGGCCTCCAGTCCCTTGGTTTGCCCCAGCGGTGCCGCGGAAAATTGAAGGGAGTGGTGTAGGTGAGGGGGAATTGTGGAGTACGGCAGGAGATTCAGAAGTAACTAAACCCCAGGAAGATGAGACCCTCCTTCTTGGTGCCCTCATGTCCTTTGTGCCCCCACACCTACAAACCTGGATTTGAGGGAAGCCCGAAGGTCTGCTGCAGAGCCCTGACCTGCCACCCCACCTCCATATGTGCAGAATGGGGGGCTACAACCCACACGAAGCTGTGGAACCTTCGGGACCTCGGCCTAGTGGACTCTGGGACTCCCAGCCTTTTCTAGCCCCCCTCCCCAAGGCCCCTCTCTCCACAAGGCATAGGGAAAATGAGGCATTGGCTGGGAGGAGACTGTGGGCGAGGCCTGCCTCCTGATCCACAGCCGGGCCTGAGTGGGGAGGGCCTGGAGTTCATGCTCCCAAAAGGAAAGGAAGGCGACACTCTCCTCCTTGGTTTCTAGAGGGATTTGACGGCTGTAGGCATCCTGGCTGGTGATACTGACTGCTCCGCTGCCTCCGCTGGGTGGGCAGGCAGGGTGCACAGACAGCTCAAAAGTTGAAAAGAAGGTGGCGTTCAAAGGGGGATAGGAGAGAAGGGGGTGTCTGTTTACAGCCACAGTATCTATTTGAGGGACTCTCTCAAATAGCGGAGGCCCATAAGAGAAGATCCCTGGGGACTCTTTCCTCTAGGGAAGCTGAGGTTGAGGCAGCAGGGCCCTGTCGCCTGGAGAAGACGCAAAGGAAGAGCAGGCTTGAAACCTTTCCTCTTCTGTTTCTTTGCTCCTTGCCTAGAGCGTGGCTCAGCCCCCTGCTGCCTTGGCGGCTGCCTAGGCCAACATGGGATTCTATATCTTGGAGGCCTAGTGTACCCACCCGAGCAGGTCTCCTGGGAGGGGCAGGAGAGGAGGCCTCTTCCTCCTTTGTGTCCAAACAGAAGTGGCCGCTGCGCCCAGAGCCGGTCCAGCGGCAAAGGACCGGCAAGCAAACGGACTGCACAATGCCACGGCTGCTCCGCCAGCTCACGCCCTGCCCCGTCCTGCCTGCGTATCGCCGCCCTTCCTCCGCCTGGCTCTCTGTGCGCCTCCCTTTCCCTGCTCTCCTCTTTCTTTTCTTCTTGCTTTTCTTCTTTTCTTAATTCTTCCCCTTTTTTCTTTTTATCCTAATTCTCCGTTTCCTTCTTTCCTTTCTTGGGCCTGGCTCCTTGTTTCGGTTGGTCTGCCTCAGGCTGTCTCAGGCTCAGTCTCTCTGAGGCTCTGTCCCTTGATGTCCTCTTGGTCACAGTCTGGCCAGGGGCCCCGCTGAAGGCTAAATGTCTCCGCTCATCGCAGCCAGCAGCCGCCTAAGAGCCGGCCGGGTCCCCAGCCGCCTGGGGCTGGGGGAGGTGCTGGCTGTGCTGGGGATTTGGAGAAAGCCTCCACAGGGGGACTGGAACCTCCTGTCTTTTCCTTGAACTAGCGAGGGAGATTTTTTGATTGACAGCTAACGCGACACCATCAAGGCCAAAGAGATATTCTGTTTCTTGTTGTAATCTGGGTTTCCCAGTTTAGTCCAACCCGAGGGAGGGGAAGACAGTTGGAGTCCAGGGGACAAGGTTGAGGCCCCCAGGCCACCGCCTGTCCCCAGCCAAACACTTCCCTCATCCCCCCCATGCGTCGAAATCCCAGCCCCGTTAGACCGAAAAGCAAAGAACTAGAGAGGGGGAGGAGCAGGGACTGAGGAGGGGGACTGTCGAGCTGGGATCGGTGCTGTCGCCACAGCTGTATTCTTCTCCCCAACTTTCCTCCCCCCAACACACATACTAGGCACATTCTCTCCAGCCCTTCTCCACCCCAGAGGAGAAAGATCGACAGATATGCAGGAGAAAAACAGCCCCCCCCAATTCCCCATCCTTACCCCTGGTGTTTTGTGCTCTCCTGGGGACAGGAGAGGGAAAGAAGGGCAGGCGTGGCCGGGTCTGGGAAGCCTCCTATCCTGCTGCCTTCAGAGCCTGCATCTCAGCCTCAGTTCCTGCCTATTTCCACTAGCACAGACTGAGACATTTCCCATCTGACCCTGAAATTGCACCCCTCCTTCAAACTCACTCTACCCTGCCTAGGTGCACCAGGTCTCTGAGGACATCACCTGCCCCTCTCTTCCTCCCAGCCAACCTCCCTACCCCCTCTCCTGCACCCACACTGAGAATTTCCTACTTGCCTAAAGCCCCCTTTACTATACCACCTTGGGACAGTCTGATGGAAAGCAGAGGGCTGGGCAACAAATCTCAAATTCAAGGAGGAGGGTAGCAACCAACTTATTGGGGGGAGGGATCCAAGTTGTCTGATATTCCCCTACAATCACACTGCCCCCTCTGGAATTCCTGAATCCGACCCCAAAGAAACTGCTTTCTCCCATCCCTCCGTTGCTTTTTTCCCGTTCCAAAAACAGCCTACAATTTTATTTAATGAAAGACACATTTATGAACAATCAAATGATCCTCATAAAAATTTTATTGAAGGACGTAAAAACAAGCTACTTGCCCACGACCGAGGTCGCTCTCTCGCCTTGCCCGCTCTCACCCTGGCTCTCTGCAGATAGAACCCGGGAGTGACTTCTTTTTGGGGGGGAAGGGTGTCGCAGAGATGGAGCTGGGAGCAAAGGAGGAAGAGCAGGAAGGTGGGATGGGGACGCCCCACTAAAGTTGTGTAGATCTCTCCTCCACTTCTTCAAGCTGGCAAAGAAAGATAAATAGATATAGACAATAAATTTAAAATAAAGGCGCTTGTATATCTGTGCCAAAGCAAAGAGAAGACTTCTGAGGCTGATGATAAAGGTGCATGAGATCCCGACGTTCTACCCCTCCCACCCGCGGACCACCTTCCCCAGGCTTCCCCTACCCCAGATTTGGGGGCTGAGTTGGCCAGTGGCAGAAGGACGCTACCCTTTCCCTCCTTCCCTCCCTCCACCCCAGCTTCTCCAGTCCCCTCCCACCCTCCCTCCCTCACTGCTGCTGCTGCTCCTGAAAGAAATACATATACACACTATTTAAAAACGCATTTTTAAAAGCCACGTTCCGAACTGACAATCGCTGATCTCGGCTCGCGCAGGGACTGCGGGAGCGTCAGGGCCGACAGAGACGGATTACGTCAAGAAATAGTTCCTCCACCTACCTCGGCAGTCCTCCCCGCCCCTGTGGGGCTCCCGCGCCCAGCTCGGCCCTGGGGGTCCAAGAACCCTGGCTTCGGGGACTGGCATTTTCACCCCATTAAAAATCCTCGTGGTTGGGGGGAGGCCATCTGCTTATGGGTGGACATGGGCATAAGGGGTTCTCTGATGAGGTATGAGCCCTCCTGAGGGGCTGGCCGGTGCCTTGGGTCCATAGTTCCGGAACCCCAGGAAAACGCAGGTCGCGGGGATCAGCAGAGAGAAGGGGGGTGAGGGGGGGGAAAAGCAAGGAAAAAAAAGCCCCTGCGCATTGATCCGCGCCGTATTTTTGGGTAAATACGATCACGTGGGGGCCGGGGAACCAATGAGCTGCGGGGAAAAGGCTGGAAAAATAATTACCTGCCTTGATTGTTCTGTGAGCAGATAAAAAGTACATATACAGTTCATACAATAATCTTATGTATGTAAAACCCTGTTACGATGTCGGCGACGGGGCCCATCAGTAACTATTACGTGGACTCGCTCATCTCTCACGACAATGAAGACCTCCTAGCGTCCAGGTTTCCGGCCACGGGGGCTCACCCCGCCGCCGCCAGACCCAGCGGTTTGGTGCCGGACTGTAGCGATTTTCCGTCCTGTAGCTTCGCGCCCAAGCCGGCAGTGTTCAGCACGTCGTGGGCGCCCGTGCCCTCGCAGTCGTCCGTGGTATATCACCCGTACGGCCCCCAGCCCCACCTCGGCGCCGACACGCGCTACATGCGGACTTGGCTCGAGCCGCTGTCCGGCGCAGTCTCCTTCCCCAGCTTCCCGGCCGGGGGCCGTCACTACGCCCTCAAGCCGGACGCCTACCCCGGCCGCCGAGCGGACTGCGGCCCGGGCGACGGCCGCAGCTACCCGGACTACATGTACGGCTCGCCCGGGGAGCTGCGCGACCGCGCCCCGCAGACACTGCCCTCGCCCGAGGCGGACGCACTCGCGGGCAGCAAGCACAAAGAGGAGAAGGCCGACCTGGACCCCAGTAAGTTGGGAGCAATTTTCCTTTACAACCAGCGCGGGAGGGGAGGGGAGGACGGGCGGGGGGAGCCGGATTACAGCCCCTCTGAACAGCACAGGGAGCGCCGGAGAGGGGCGAGGGCGAGGGGGCGAGGACTCAATAAAAGCGAATTACCTTGGGGAGCTTTCAGGGACAGGAAGGTCTGAGGAGGGGGCCCAGGGAGACAGGTTGGGAGAGGGTCGAGGGGCGCCCCTCTCCCAGAAGCTGGCTTTGATGAGAGACCCCTGCCCCCATCCCAGCCCAGGCTTTTTGGTTCAGTCTCCACTTTCTAAGAAATGCAGACAGGGCCAGGGGATGGGGCGGGGGCGAGGTTCATTTTATGGTTTGAGATGGGACGGAGAGAGAAGAGGAGGACACGGGACAGAGAGGAAATACTCTAGGGAGAAAAATCACCCCTACTCCCAGTCAGCATGGGGTCCTCACGCCACTAGAGATTCATAAAACAGAAGGTCCGTGGACTTCTCCCCTAGGAGCATTGGGTGAGGGTCTGGGGGATTTTGAAGCCTGAGAACTTGTAGAGATCAGGACTTCCAGAGAGAGAAGTGGGGACAAAAGTGGGGTCTGAGTCTTATTAAACTTGAGAACCCTGTTCTGAGGGTCTGGGGTGGGGGACGATTGAGAATGGGGCTCCTGAATGAGGAGTGGGAATCTCCCCAGATTAGAGAATTCTACCCCTCACACACTTCAATCAGGGATACAGGAGCCTTCTGAGTATAGCAAAGAAGGACTGGGGTGGGGGCAGGTGGGAGCTGCAGGGCCAGGAAAAGGGAGAAGAAGGAGAAACAGCAGGGGAGGGGGTTCAGCCCCCAGGGTGTGAGGAAGTGTCTGGGGGAGTCCCAGGAGGGGGCTGCAGGAAATCTTTTCCTCCAGCCTCATAAGGGCCAGGGCCTAATTATATCCTTCTGAAGACTTCCCTCCCTGCCCTCAGCTACTCCCATAAACCTGAAATTGGAGGCTTGGCTCCTGCAGAGCCTGTCCTGGGGCTGACAGGAGGGGGGCACTGGAGGCCAAACAGGGGAGCTAAGATGTGGGAGAGCCTGTCCCCAAGGCCAGCA